AGTCTAGAAAAAGGTAAATGTGTGCATTTTATTATAAAGTTGTGTATATTTACAGACTGTTGCAAAAACTAAGAAGCTTATAAACATCAGGTTTAAAACTAAAAGAGCTTTACAAAAAAGTAACACAATTAAAGATGTTTGGAGTTTTATTTGAGTTATTAATTTACATTTTTTGTCAAAGAGATGCTGATTTGAAACCGTTGTTACATACAGTTACGGCATTTCCTGTTTCTGCCGGAGAGAGGGGAGTTTGTCCCAAAGCTTGCCGCTGTATTTACTCCCTCCATCTGACAGGAGGGAGCCTCATGTGTCACTCCACGGAGTTCACTCCGTCACGGAGGGGGAGTGTGTAGGGCGTGGTTTGGGATTGGGCCATACACACGCACTTTTTTGGCCCCCCCACTTCTAAAATGAATCCGGTGCGCCTGGCTGTCAGCATCAGCTGTGGGCTTGGCTTGCTGTTTAAAACACCTTTTTTTTATCCATATCTCTCGCTAGAATCTCCCACCATCCAACTAACAACAACAACGTCAAGCCTTTGGGCTCTGAAACTACGGGGCGGGCCGAGGACAAATATACATGCGTTAATCGCACGTTAAAATAATTTGTGGGGTTATTAACGTGTTAACTTGACAGCCCTAGTTGAAATAGTCAATTACTAGCCATATCTTACACATTTCTGTTTTGAATTATTAATATGTGGATGACAGTTGAACTGGATGATGTAACATTTATGCCATCTGCTGGAAAGAAGATGTATCGTTCTGTTGGCGTCGTTTGGACAACAAAAACAGAGTAAAGCTTTCATTTCATAAACAATCTTTGAGTACAGACACTGTCCTGCAGAGAGCACACAACCCAACAGCACGTTTTTGGTCTAGCATCACTTTACAAAACGTTTGCATTAAGACACTAATGCATTTCCACCATGGTGCGGAGCGCGGTTTAAGCGTGCCCGTTTTTGGTTGCGCTTCCACTAGGCCTAGTTCCGGCCCGGGGCTACTTTTTCACCTCTTTTCTGGCCCGACAAAATCGTGGTTCTATCGGGGCCAACAAACAGGGCTGAGTCGGGCTGAGTTTGCTAAACTAGAGAGAGAATCGCTGGCAAGGGGGCTACAACAAGATGAACATATTTGACCGTGATTTAATTGTAATACACGTTTCAAAATGATGCCAAAGTAACAACATACTGATACCGGTTAGTAAAAACCATGAATTAATGCTTTGACAAGTCTGCAGACAGACGGCAGGCGAAACACCTTTTAAAATGCGTGTTTTCTAGATGGAGATTGGCTAAGCCAACGCAATATATGCTCCGACCGTCCACACTCACAACAACGGCCTATACAGACATAAATAAACCAGCGACTGTATTCGCCATGACAGACAGTCTGTGGTTTGTACTTGTTTAACTTTTGTCTAGTTTCTGAACAGATATGAGGAGCTGTGAGCTTGAGTGCTAACAGCTAACGGCTGTGTTGTTTTTCTGGGGTTCTCATTGAAGATGACGTCACGGCTCCGCCTACACTGCGTTACTATAGTAACTACCCCAGTTCCTAAACTGTAATGGAAGCGCAGCATGAAGTGAGCCGGCCCTAACAAGGCCCAACGCGGCCTAGCAGTACCGAGCGAGGCCGAGGCCGACCGTGTGGTGGAAATGCGCCATAAGACTAGCTGGTCCATTGTAAAGGTCAGTCCACCTTAAATGAGCAGTGGGTGATCAGCAGGTGAAAGGCAGGAAACGGGAACTTGGTCCTGAGGACATGTAACGATTATTAAACAAGAAATAGTCGAGTCAAGGGGTCAAAGAAATTAACATTTGTGATTATTAGCAAATCGGTTGCAGGTGGGTGAAATCAGGCTTAGAGAGTAACGTATTACATGTAACGGCATTAGGTCATCAGGATACAAAATAGGCAAATGTATTCCCTTTAGGGCTGCACGATATTGGGAAAAACTGACATTGCATATATATATATATTGCGATATGAAAAAATACAGGAATTGAAGAAAAGACAGTTTTTTTTTGTCCGCAAGCTATCCTTTCTTGAACTTTCATGCTATACAATTGGTCTTTTTTTAACGATATTTAACCGGATGAAGGATTTTAGTCACAGACTTCTGGATCTTAAGTTATCAGAGCAACAAGCTGAGCTAGCTCGGTTATCCTGCTGTGATCTGATCAAGAATGATTATGATTGGTGGTTTGCTGTGCATGCAGAGCCTGCATGTCACTCACTCAAGTACCCCTGACATGAGAGCCGCGCGAGTTTTCCTTTTGTAACAAGCAGCAAAATAATTGTAATATGATGTGTTTGAGTTAATTTGCCGACTTATTATCGCACGTCCTAAAAAATAAATTTAATTAAATAAAAATCGTCCTGCATGCGCATAACGTGATTATCCTCACGACACGATATATCGTGCAGCCCTACTTCCCTTACAGTTACAGAGGCAAAAACAATCAGATAACAGGTACATTTATGTAAAACAGGGCTCATTAACAGGATAGCAATGATACCAAACATTTAGAAATAAAGAACAATACATCAAATCATCCTATATCTCTATATGGAAACTTGGAGCCCTCAATCCAAAATAAAATGGTTCATCAACAGTCAGTGGTTAATGTATGAATCAGAAAATCAGTATGACAAAAACATTAAACATATTGTCCACTTATGTTGATAAAGATGGAGTTCACTTAAGTATTTTATGAATGTTGTGCGACAATTAGAGATGTCCCGATCCGATCACGTGATCGGGGATCGGAGCCGATCACGTGATTTAAAAAAAATCGGGGATCGGGATTTTTTTTTTTTTTATAAAATATTTTTATTATTTTATTGAATGTTACAAAACAAAAATGACCATGTTCACGTCTTAAAGTCATCCTGAGGCCTTAGTTTTGGTTTAAAATTACACAACATCATGTATGTGTTGCTTCTTTTGGGCTTGTTTTCATAGACCTGGTTGCTTATTTCTCTCAAATCTGGCAACAGAGTGGGCAGGGCGCAGTGTCTAATAGTAGCAGTAAGCTAACAAGAGGCTACGTTCAGCTGGTGCCTCGGGAGTCGGGACAGAGAAAATGTCAGGAGTTTGGAAGTACTATAAAATTGAAAGCGAAGGCAGTGTAACAGCCAGATGCAATGTTTGCAAGGCGGAGGATCCGCGTGGTGGAAAGAACAGAGCTACGTTCAACACGACCAATCTAATACGCCACCTGAGAAACAAACACCAACAACAACACGAGGAGTACACAGCGGCCACTCAGGTAAAGGCACTGAAACAACCGACACTTTCAGAGACTTTTAAAAGGAAAGAGAAACTGCCCCAGAACAGTGTTTTCACTGTTACACTGGCCAAAAAAATAACAGCCAAGATAGCTGAATTCATCGCGTTGGATGACCAGCCGTTATCTGTTACCTTTTTTTTCTCTTAATGCATTGCATAAAGATCGGATCGGGAAAAATCGGTATCGGCAGATTGCCAAAATCAAATGATCGGAATCGGATCGGGAGCAAAAAAAGGTGATCGGGACATCCCTAGCGACAATGTTAATCCAGTCAGACAGATTTTTCTCATGTGTGAACTGTCTTAAAGGGCCCATGTCATGCTTTTCCGGTTATTACCCGTCCCCTTGTGTGTTATGAAGGTTTTTATGCATGTAAACGGTCTGCAGAGTCAAAAACCCTCAAAGTACACCCTGTAGGGAGTAAAACTCTAACACAGAAAATACCTCCCCAAAACGCCTCGTTGGAGATTTATCATGTTCTTCCTGGGCATCGTGACGTCTGGATACCCAGTAGCCATGCCCAGAGCTATGACGCACCCTCTGCCAGCCAAGCATATATACTGTTGGAATCTCAGGTTCAGTTCAAAACAGTGCTAACTGGGCTAGCGTTTACATATATCAACTACAATGTCAGCAGATGGCCTTACATGTTTCTCATAGCAGGAGAATGTCTGCATTCACACACAAAATACTCATAGACAGTATACTCCGGGTGATTTACCCTACGGTCAGTACATTATAGTTGGCGTTCCTAACTGAGCTACCGTTCATAGCGTGTATGCTACCGAGAAAAACAACGACGCTACCGAGAGGTAGACATGCTAGGCGAAAACATTGTTTTCATGCCAGCTACAATGAATGACCGAATGTAGCAGACTACCCGTATAAGATTGCAATTGTAAACACGTTCTTCCTAGCCTAATATGAACCACTAACTTTTGTTCATAGTGATTTTATTACACAGAACAAGCCATTGACACAGTGCTAACTGGGCTAACGAAGTTGCTAGCGTTTACATATATCAACTACAATGTCAGCAGATGGCCTTACATGTTTCTCATAGCACGAGAATGTCTGCATTCACACACGAAATACTCATATACAGTATACTCCGGGTGATTTACCTTACGGTCAGTCCCGAAACTTAATTACATTATAGTTGGCTTTCCTAGCATGTATGCTACAAAGCTAAACAACAGGGCTACCTATAGCTAGACATGCTAGGAAAAACATTGTTTTTATGCAAGCTAAAAAGAATGACCGACACGTAGCAGACTACCGTGTAAGATTGCAATTGTAAACACGTTATTGCTAGCCTAATATGAACCACTAGCTTTTGTTCACAGTAGGTTGGCATATTACACTGAACTAGCAAACATAGGTTAGCTTATACAAAAACTGATGCTCCGCTCAGAGCCGAAAAAACACTGTGTTAGACATGGGCGGAGCCTCTCTGGTGGTTGACTAATCAGAACAGAGTGGCCGAGCTGACCAATCGGAGCAAACTGGGCTCACAGGGAGGGGGGGGGGGGGGGGGGTGGGGGGCAGGAGTTCAAACAAGCCGTTTAGGGCAGAGAGTGAATACCGGTGAATACACATACTTTACAGAGATGCTGTATGCGAAACCAATGTGAGTTTGGAAAATTGCACAGTATAAATCTATTTTAGTAGACCTCAACAATGGAATTATGATCAGTGGAAATGGCCATGACATGGGCCCTTTAAGACTTATTCATTGTCCTCTCCATCAGCTTGTTTCCATGTGTTCAGCTGATTGAAGGCTATGCCTCTATTAAAAGCCATCCAGGAGTTCACACTGTCCAAATATTAAAATCTCTGTCTTGTTTTCGTTGAGTCAAGAAGTTGATTTCCATCCATGATTTTATGTCTTTCAGACAGCTAAGCAAGGCAATCCTAGATTCCTTATTTGCTTTTATAGGCAGGTATACCTGCAAATCATCTGCAAAGCAAATGTTATGCTTTTTAAAAACAGTCAGTGGTTAACGTATAAATCAGAAAATCAGTATGACAAAAACATTAAACATATTGTCCACTTATGTTGATAAAGATGGAGTTCATTTAAGTCTTATATGAATGTTGTGCAACAATGTTAATCAAGTCAGACAGATTTTTCTCATGTGTGAACTGTCATAAGACTTATTCATTGTCCTCCATCAGCTTCTGTTTCCATGTGTTCAGCTGAGCTGCTGATTGGAGGCTCTGCCTCTCCGTTATCCTCAGTTTGAATTTCATTAAGCTGTGAGGACTGACGACCAACACACTTGTGTCTTTTGAAAACCCCATGCCATTTAAATCTTTTGTCACAAACATTGCAGCTGTATATTTCCTCTCCTGTGTGGACTCTCATGTGTGTCTTCAAAACTCTACTCTGTGAAAAAGCTTTCTTACAGACTGAGCAACTGTATGGTTTCTCTCCTGTGTGGATTATCATGTGTTCTTTTAAACTTTGATTCAATGCAAAAGATTTGGTACAAACCGAGCAGCTAAAGGGTTTCTCTCCTGTGTGGATTGTCATGTGTTTTTTTAAACTTTGACTCAATGCAAAAGATTTGGTACAAACCGAGCAGCTAAAGGGTTTCTCTCCTGTGTGGATTCTCATGTGATTCTTTAAAACTCGACTCAATGAAAAAGATTTGGTACAAATCGAGCAGCTAAAGGGTTTCTCTCCTGTGTGGATTATCATGTGTCCTTTTAAACTTTGATTCAATGCAAAAGATTTGGTACAAACCGAGCAGCTAAAGGGTTTCTCTCCTGTGTGGATTCTCATGTGGTTTTTTAAACCGTTACTAAATGCAAAATATTTGGTACAAACCGAGCAGCTAAAGGGTTTCTCTCCTGTGTGGATTCTCATGTGTGTCTTTACACTTCCACTCTGTGAAAAACATTTCTTACAGACTGAGCATCTGTATGGTTTCTCTCCTGTGTGGATTCTCATGTGTTTTTTTAAAGTTTGACTTAATGCAAAATATTTCGTACACACAGAGCAGCCAAATTGTTTCTTTACAGCACTACGGCTTGAATCACTGAGAGATTCTTGTCTATTTTTCAGTGATTTTGAGGCTGAAGCAGATTCTCTGGTCTCCTTCCAATCAGCACTGTCTTCAGTGTCAGGTTCAGAAGAGTCTCCAGTGTCAGGTTCAGAAGAGTCTCCAGTGTCAGGTTCAGAAGAGTCTCCAGTGTCAGGTTCAGAAGAGTCTCCAGTGTCGTCCTCAGTCTTTGGTTGTAAACTGCTCTCTGGATCTGAGTTCCTGGCTGGTTCTGGTCCTCGACAGTCATCTCCATCAGCTTCTGTTTCCATGTGTTCAGTTTGTCTTTGATGAGGCTGTGAGGACTGAGGTTTCTCTTCATCATCTTCACTCTTCACAGGGTCAGGAGTGAAAGTGGACTTGGTGATATCAGCCTCCTCCAGCTCCTGAAGCTGCTCTCTCTCCTGACTGATCCTGAGTTCCTCCTGTTCCTGCTTAATGTGTGGGGGGGGCTCTGGGTCCTCCTGGTCCAGACTGGTGCTCCAATCCTGCTGGTCAGGGAGAACGTCTTCTTTAACCACCACCAGTAGCTGGACGTCTGCAGGTAACAGGAAACACACAGTCAGAAAAAACTGTTAAGTATTAGCATTTCAAAATCTGATCACCATTAAAATGGGAGATATTTTGCAGCCCTAATAATGCCTTTGTTTTTACTTTCATATTATCTTTTAGTCCCACCTATTGTGTATTTTTGTTGTCTCAATTCACCTTCTGTAGCCCAGCCCCTTTCCAGTTCCAGTTTAGCAGTAGCTGCAATGTAAACAAGGAATTGTATTTGGCATCGTTCACAGATACACTATGCCTATAGAATGAAAATACTCCGTTACAAATTAAAATCTTGCATTCAAACCTTATTTAAGTAAACGTTCGCAAGTATTAACAGAAAAATGTACAGCACCTTCTTATGTAAAAGTAATGATACTGCAATGACATTTTCGCGGGGGGGAAAACGCAACATCTTGCAAGAAACAGCGTCTGAGGGCTTCTTAACATTTAAAGGTCCCGTGTCATTATTTTCCAGTTATTACCCGTGCCCTTGTGTGTTATGTAGCTTTTTATGCATGTAAACGGTCTGCAGAGTCACAAACCCTCAAAGTACACCCTGTAGCGAGTACAACTCTAACACAGAAAAGGCCTGTCTATGCTGCCCCAGAACGCCTCCTTGGAGATTTCTCTTTTTCTTCCTGGTACCAAGTGACGTAACGACGACCAAAATGGACTCATTGGTCCAAATGGACCAATCCGCGGAGCCGTTATGTTACGTCCGCAGAGCCGTTACGTTATGTCCGCGGATTGGTCCAAATTGACCAATGGACTTCCTCACACACTCAATCTTTTTTCAGCTGCAGCTCCGTGGATTTCTCAGCCTGAGACGGCGGGACGCGGCGAGGCTGTGAGTCTGTGTGAGCAGCAGCATTCTCATCTGTTTGTCATTACTGGTGTCATTTTCTGGTTGCTAACTAACGCCATTGTAACACATAATCACTGATGTTCCGCTGTAATGGTGGTGGACTCATCAGAACAGAGTGGGCGAGCTGACCAATCAATCAGAGCACAGTGGACTCACAGGGAGGGGGGGGGGGGGGGCAGGAGCTCCAACAAGCCGTGTAGGACAGAGAGTGAATACACATACTATAGAGATGCTGTATGAGATACCAATGTGAGTTTGGAAAATTGTAAATCTATTTTAGTAGACCTCAACAATGGAATTATGATCAGTAGAAATGGCCATGACATGGGACCTTTAACAAACTATGAATGTGTCATACCCACTTAACGGGAAGAAACTCAGCTATCAGACAATATTAACCATTGTTAGCTAAACGAAAGGGTAATACAAAGGCTCTGAATTAGCCCTGAGCGAAAAAATGCTAACGCACTTAGCAAAGAACTCACGGTAAAATATTACCTTATTACTCAGATCTGCAATATATCAGCTAGCAAGCTGAGATTCCACAGATTCTAGAAATACAAGTATCATCACTGAGCGATCAAAACTCGCACCAGGGGAAGCAAACCCAGACATCACACCACGTAGCTTTACGAATACACACTACCGCCGCTTGCTGGTAAGGAGAGTTATTGCCACTCACGCATGCGCAGTTCGTACGTGCTTCTTGGCAGTCGGCTGAAGTCTTTGCGGTGTGTTCCAGTGAGACACATGGCCAAGACGCAGAGACGCGAGGCGACACAACAGTCGGGGGTCCATCTGTGTCAGTTCTTTGGTGTCAGCTTAGTGTGTCCGGACCATTTAGAGCCAATAGAATCGAGGAGAAGTTCCTAAAATCCATCTAAACATTACTCATTGGTGAATGAGTGATGCGTAGCCAGAATGCCCAAAACCGGAAGCTGTCATACACTCTTGTAGCAGCTAATGTGAAAACTCCGTTATTGACATAAATATAGTGATGGATTATTGAACAAACTACAAATAGCGTGTGCGTTCCATTTTCACTCTACAACGAGAAGCTCATGGGGCTTTCCCGAACCTGTGTCGAGAGCTGGAGTTAAATGAAATCTCAGATTTGCCTTCTTAATAGTTTGTTTGGGTCCCTCACTTCCGTTTCGCTTCTCATGCACTGATTCGCTAGCTGAACAGCCAATCAGAGTAATTTATTTTGCCGACAGCCTTTGGCCGACTGCCAAAGACTACTGTTTTCGGCCGAAAAGGTGTCGGCACGGCTGAAAAGATACGACGAAAAAATTCTATATTGATTCTCACTATTCTACATCCAACTTACAGGTTTATCATTGCTTTGAGAAAAAAGATTATTAATTTACCCTTTTTAGAAGCGAAGTTATAGTCTTTTGTTCTGGGAATGTCATTTTTCGAGCCTGAGGCCTGAAAAACAGGTGTTAGAGCCAGTATTTTAATTTTATAAGAAAGGCCACCTAATTGTGATGTCTGTAGTCAACACATTATAAAGGACTACAATTCCCACGGTGCCTGCGCTAAAGCCACAGTGATGGGCAACCTGTTTGAGAGACGCCGTCGAGGAACAGTTTTTATCCCTACACGTACAAATTGTACAAGTACCCTTTAACCTGTTAAGCCCTGAGCCTGTTTTTCAGGTCTCAGGCTCGAAAATGACATTCCCAGAACAAATGACCATATCTTCCCTTCTAAAAGGGTTAAATTAATAATCTTTTTTCTCAAAGTAATGATAAACCTGTGAGTTGGATGTAGAAAAGTCAGAATCAATATAGATGTTTTTTTATTTGAAAGAAAATTCAGATTTTACATAGTAAAAAACTGTAAATTATAGTGTCCGTCCAAAAATTCTTTTTTACTTATAGTGAAAACTACCCTTGGATGATGGTAAGGCAGACTAAAAGCTTTAGGAATCCAAAGTACAACATATAATAAGTACCCTGTATCAAGATTGATGCAAAACAAGTGACATTTGACCTTTTTAGAGAGATTTAGCAAAAAGAAACCACTTCTGGGGTCATTTGGGTGGATTTTCCATATCTCTGGCTTCCCTTGCTCGATTTTGATGGTTGACACCTCTTTCTGACCGTTAGAGCCAATAGAATCGAAGGGGGAGTCCCCCACACACACTCATTGTGAAAAAAAAGGTGGGGGCTTCGCGCATGTAATTTTCAATCAGAGTGGACCTATCTCTAGCTCTGACATCTGGAAACGGAAAAGCAGTTTTATTGCTTATGGATTATCAGAAATCATTTCAAAGGGACACAGACACATTGGATTAACCTATGGATTAACTTCAGCAGCGTTTTTATCGTTTTAATGCCATTGAAGACCACTTTGGATAGACTAGAGCCAAGGTAAAAATGTTAGCATTTTTAGCTACCTAGCGTCACCTGTTGTTTCTGTTTTTGTTTATAACATCGCAAATTCGTATAATTCAGTGATAATGAGGGTACCTTTCGATTCTGTGTCACCTCACGATGTGAATCGATGTGGAGAAGAGATAAATAAAAAATGATCAGTTAGATGAGTTTCTTCCCGTGACATGGATATAAAACATTCATAGTTTATTAAATGAACATGCCCTCAGACACTGTTTCCTGCAAGATGTTGCGGCAGTGCCCCGGTACCGGGGTCTCTCGGGCTTAACAGGTTAAGTTATGAAGTTATATAAGCATTATTAAGAAAGAAAGAATACCCAAGTTGTTTATTATTTTATTTGAGTTAATGTGAACATTAGTGAACACGGAAGGACCGCATTGACTTTCTGGATTGTGACAACGTGGATTTCTGTGGAAAAAGGCTTGTGCTGCATGTTGTGGATGTTGCAATACATTATAGTCTAATGCTGGAAGTGGAACAAATTTGCTTATGAATAAAATGTGGAACGTAACAAGGAGGGTATCTTGAAAAGCGCTTTAATAAGTTTGTCTATCTGGCTTACTGCCGCGGATCCAAGCCGCACAACAACATAGCGCAACATTAAAATAAGGACAGCTATTTACACGTGGATGTACAACGACAATAAAGCATAAACATGGCTGAAAAGGAAAATGTGGAAACGAATGAAACTCCTATGGACCCAAACGTGAATGAACGTGAAGTACCTGTGGAAAATGCTGACGTCAGACCAAAAAGAACAATAAGACCTGCAGAAGAGGCTTTAGAAGCTAAGCTGGTGCAGTTAATTAAAAAAAGGAAAACGAAATTGGGTCAAGTCTCAAGGAAACTTGTTTTGATTGATTCACTCATGATTGATTATGGGAATATCATTGAGATGCAAAGTTGTCGTGGGGTTTTTCAAATACTCTCCAAAGAGTTTTCAAACTCACATCACTCAGTGCAAGAAATGCTGTCGGAGCAAGAAAAAGAAAGTGATCATGTTGACTGCTATCTCCCAAAAATTGCATATTTCAATGAGTTTCAAGATGTGATGGTTAGCTAGAGCTGCCTCCTTTGAGAATGTGCCTCCTTCTGACCATGGCTCATATACTGCATATATGTCAAGTCCACATAAAGCAATATCAGTGGGCATGATAAGCAAAAAAGGTAAAAGCTATAAAATCTATGATAAATCTTCAACAGCTTCATCAGTAAGAAGAAAGGCAGAGAGAGCTGGGCTCATAGCACACGCTGTTGCCTTACCACAGAAACACTCACTTGAAAAACAAGAAGCTGACCTGGAAGCAATGAAAGCCAATATCAGAGCTAAAATGGAAAAGCTTGAGCTTCAAACTGATATTGATGCTGCAACAGCCCAAAATTAAAACATTGGAAGCTTCAGATAATGATGAATCTGATCCTGACCCTCGTGTGGGAGAGGAGCAGTGTGACAATGGTCAGCCAGCTGAAAATTATGATTTCCAGGATGAAGAGAACCGAGGAAAACCTGTGGAGAAGGATAATAAAAAGAGTTTCATAAGGCGCATTCACACCGCAGTACTTTTTCCACAAAGGTTCATGAGAACTTAGTTCATGAGAACTCTTTAGTTCTCATGAACTAAGTACAGATCGCGCTCACACCGGAATAAGTTCCTGGGGAAGGATTAGGCAAATGAAGCCGCTAACGTCACTTTTTCTTCTTCTGCTTTGGGTTTACTGGCAGG